GCCCGCCTCGGCCTCCCAAAGTGCTGGGATTACAGGCGTGAGCCACCGCACCCAGCCAAACATATCTTTTAAGAATTAAATACTTGAGAAAAATTCCATACTCCAAATAACTAGATTGTTGTATTCAAACTGTGTAGTATTTCGTAAACATTCTACCTAAAACTCCCTAAAACTGTCAAATCTGTAATATAGTCAATATTAGCAATATTTACTTTTAAAATCCTGAATCCAAACCATTCATTTTAGTCTTCCTCATAAAGCTTTTAAGTAATAATATTAACAAAAAGTAAAGTCATCAGGTTTCAGGTCTACCTGTTTCTTGATTTTACTATATTTATTCATTTGTTCATTAATCCATTCATTAGTTCAACTAATACCTACCATTGAAAAGGTACTATATTAAGTAATGGAAGTATTAAAACGAGCAAAAAAAAGGATAGTCCCTAGCTTCATAGAGCTTATGACCTAGCAAGAGAGGTGTTAAACAGGCAGTAATATAAATAAATATAAAATTACAAACTTTGTTAAATGCTATTAAGGAACAAAACAAGGTACTATAAAGAATAAATTAAGGACCTAGTCTGTGGATTTGGCAAAAGCATCTCTCAGGAAAGGACATTTGAAGTGAAACCTTAAAGCTTAATATACATTAAGTAAGTGGATAGATGGGTGGGGAGGTTCAGGGAGAGGAGACAGCATGAAGGCTTGAGGTGGGAAGGAAAACAGCTAGGTAAGTAGAGATCATGTAGGACTGGTATGCTTATTTAAGGATTTTAATAATTTTAAAAGCATTAGTAAACCATTTAAGTTAAGTAAGGGAGAAGTCTGATTTAAGTTTTAAGAAGCTAACTCTGGCCATAGGAAGAACAGAATGGAAGATTGCAATAATAGATGCAAAGACACCAATTAGGTACCTTAGGCACCTACTGCAGCATTTTTAGACTATAGGGCAATCAAGATGAAAGAAGTAAAGATATTTGAGGACCATCACGACTTGGTTACTGATAGAATGAAGGGATTGACTCCCAGATTTTGGATCTGTATAAATTAATTCACTACATTATCGTAACACAAAACTGTACTCTTCATTCATTTGTGTAGTAGCTGCATCCCTTACTAGATCATATCTGTTTTCATCCCAGTTCTTAGTATGATGCCAAGAAATAGCAGAAACTTGGTTAATAACTATTTAAATGATAAATGGATAGAAGGTCTTACAATTTTCCGAGTTAATAATGCCTGGAAAAGGACTTAGGTTTGGGGTGGAATGGGCAGAGTTAGTTTTGGACATGCTGAATTGAAGTGCCTTAGAAATCCCTAAATGGAGACAACAAATGGTTGTATACAATCATGTATTAAATACAAAACTCAAGCAAGATTTGTTTCTTTAGGGAAATCATATATTCATATTCACCTTAATTGTTCTGAAAATCAACACCAGGAACATGAAGACTTGTTAACGGCATTTAAAACATTTTATGAGCTGTATTAC